AAAGAGTGACCTCAGGCCAGGCATTTCTCTGTGCTGAGGCAGACCCTGCAGTTAGGCTGAAGTTAGGAGGCTGTTTGCTGGACCTCATGCCCCACAGTCTGGGCCACACACCTCTTCCACTGGCTTTCTGATAACCTACATCTCTTCCCACCTGCTTTTTTCCCAACTTTTGCCCCTGCCACTCCCTGCTGCAACTGTGTGCCAGGAGCCTTCAAATGTTTTCATGCACAGCTCACCCCTTGCTCCGTGCTCTCCACTTCACCTTTTCTCTGCCATCTTTCAGATTGCCAAGATGCGCAAAGACAACCTTTCCCATAGGGAAGAGTCAACAGAACAGCAAAATAGTGTGAAATGTACTTCCCTCAAGAAACTTATTATTCTTTATACAAGAATATTATTCCATATGTATCAATAAATAGAAATATTATTCCTGTATCCATCAGGATCCCTCAGGAAAGCAGATCCTGGAGGGGACTCAAATGAAGACACATTACAGAAGGGACGATTCACAGAGGCAAGACCTCCAGAGCCTGGCAATAATGGCTCTGCAGGGCTTCCCTGGTGGCGCAGTGGTTAAGAGTCCAACTGCCAACGCGGGGGACACAGGTTCGAGCCCTGGTCCAGGAAGATCCCACATGCCGCAGAGCAGCTAAGCCCATGCGTCACAACTAACTGAGCCTGAGCTCTAGAGCCCACGAGCCACAACTACTGAAGCCCGCGTGCCTAGAGCCCAGTGCTCCACAACAAGAGAAGCCACCACAATGAGAAGCCCGCACACCGCAGAGTAGCCCCCACTCGCCACAACTAGAGGAAGCCCGTGCGCAGCAACGAAGACCCAACGCAGCCAAAAATAAATTAATTAATTAAAAATAAATAAAGAAATAATGGCTCTGCAGAGGCGAAAGGATGGAACAGTGTTATAGGAGCCCCATAAGAGCCAAAGCTGTGTGTTTGGTGAACGGGGTGGCGGATGGACCTCTGGATAAAGACTGTACTGGAGAGAGAGACAGCCACTGCTGGTCTCAGAAGCACCCTGATGTTTCTCTCCTCCAGCCCTCCAATCTCCTCCTGATGCTTCCCGTGGCCAAACTCAACCAAAAGGCAACAAGTTAAGGACCCCAGGTGATGCAGGGCATCAAAGAGCAGAGGATGTTGAAAAATAGCTCTGAAAAACCAATGGTGATAGCTGGCACAGCCTGGTAGGCAAAATGTCTTCTTTCATTGGACTTCTAGAAGCTGGCCACTGTAGCATACTATTTGTCTTCTCTCATTTCTTGTCACATACCAAAGTCCCTTCAGAAGTAACCAGTGAAGAGACCCCAGACCAAGTTACTCAGGGCTCCTGAACCCTCAGCGCAAAAGCACACGTTCATGTCATTGGCAAGAGAGTATTATTCCCAGACAAAATGTTCTAAGACAATGTTAATTAATGATAAGGATGGGCATGTGGAGAACAGCTCAAGGCTGGTGAGGGCAGCCAGACCCTTGCCTGGCGACTTGTCTTTGCCCCCTTAGACAGGTGTGGAAGGATTGGCAGCCACCTGGAAAACTCTGTTTTGTAGTAAGAACATTTTCCAGGCTCACAGGCTGGGCATCTTCCAGCTCTGGTGTTGACTTAGTCACTGCCCTCCAGGAACATTCATTCTGGCTCCCTGTTGAGAGCTCCTGCAGGCTCAGCCCCGACCAGGCAGGCACCCAGAGGGGAAGAGCACAGGGGG